AGGGGAACGTTGCGTAACAGGCACTAAAATGTATGCGTAGGAGGCTATCCCATCCCACCATATGAGCATTGCGCAAAGATTTGCTTCCAATTAAACAAGTGCGCCGTTCGATAATACACGCGATTTATCATCTATCAAAGATTTTGAAACTATCGTTTGTTCACGAAAACAGTTCTGAGATGTGCGCTCATGCAAGTCAAGTCTAGTCAAGCAGTAATATTATATTACATGCTACTAAGTCTTAGCATTGAATTCAATTCTTAAGATTTTCGACAGGTCACTATAGCAGRACMRAGGATGTGACGCAATGTTTATTCAGCAATTTTTCTTCTTTTTTACTTCGTTTAGTGAGGTTGCATGTACAGCTTCGTAAGCAATATCAAGCGTGTAAACACGCGAGTAAACATTCTGCTATACACAATGTGTATCTTTTGAACCTTTTTTCTTGTCCTCACGAAAAAAGGCCAACGAAACTTGCACATCCGATCACAGTTTGTTGATCAACATTGTACAAAATACAAGTATTTATAATTATTTTTAATAAACCCTTGTGGAAAATAAAAATGATGAAATTTAGCAGAAAGAGGGTGTACAGATTTCTTAATAGCTAACAACCCCGTGAATTAACAAGCTAAGGCTTTAGTAACATGGAAATTAGAGCTATGAAATATGCCGACGCATTGAAAAGAAAAACTAGCCGATATTTTGTGAGAAATAGTCCCATTGTTCTTTCTTAATTCAGCCATTCAAGAACTCATTTGCTGGGTAGAACGGACTGACTTTCAAAATTGTTTAAGATCTATTTTATTGCTCTTGATAGAATCAAAAATAACCGAAGACCATACTCCCAGACCCGAATGCTGAAGCGTCGTATGGCAGCGCAAGGCATTTACGGCTATGCCAGAGATTTCGACCCCAACACCGCTATCCCCGGGGGGATTTACAGACTGATCAGGAAGCTCGGCCGAAGCCTAAGGGAGAGGTTAGTCGACCCCTAGACCATAGATGATTAACCCCTTGCTATGACCAGCATACCCGATATTTCGCATCTATCTGTGATGACTTAACATCCATATTTACTTCCTTCCTTGTGGGACCCCATCTTGAAAAACTAGCCGCTATGTATGATATTGAAGTATTGAGAAATTTTACTTTTATTCTTTCCAAATCGAGCCATTTAACCACTCTTTTGCCAGGGAGAACCCTTTTTGAAACTGTAATGCTTTCTTGCAGATTAAACGTTTTTTAGGAATTTCTAATTCATCAGTTGCGGTTCGTATCTTGGATCCACGCATATGCGCACTGCGAAACTATSAATTAAATTAGAAAAACTATAGAATGTGAAACGTCGTACCTGGAAAATCCATCTCCGATCTCTCACTTTAGTTTCTAATTCATCTTGGAAATCCTCAGAGATCTCTTGTTCTTCAAAAGCAAGGCCAGCTCCGAGTAGAGCAAAAACTACGAAAATCAAGGCGTGTTTCATATCTACTTTCTTTGCTTAGGGTTGCGCGGAAGATGTGTWGATCGGCGCGGAGAAAAGACGGAAAAATGACGATCTCGCTCTTTCTTCTCTTGGTTTTATCACGACTGTAAAAAGGTGAAATTGTTCACCTGTGTAGCTTAGTGTCACAGTTTTSTTAAGGAAAATGGACAGTCAATTGAGCAAAAGTAAACAACAATCCATGATTACATTAAACTCCTTCTGATCTTCAGACCCTTAGTTCAGTGGTCAATTCAGCTTGTTGCAATGTAAAAGACTGACCATTGGAAACTGATATAAACACTGGGAACTAAAAAGCTGAATTCATAGTAATTACTGCTATATTGTACCACGCTAGTCTTTTACTTTTTTCATCTTTCTGTAAATATTTATTCAAGATCAGAGCCTTTGTCCGCCGGTCCAAAGGTTGCGCGCGCATTCATCATAATTGTCCTCGAGTTCCTTTATTTTCCCTTGGTTTTAGTTTTTTTCCCCGTATCTTCCAATTTTCCTCCTTCCGACAAAACCCTACACGCTAAATTGCAATTCGATGAGTGAGCGAGTTAGCCATATTAGTGACTTTGTGATCAGCCACAAAACGGGTTGGTTCGATTTGTGAGTTTGTGAGTATGTTGGGCTCCCTTTGTGTAGTCACCAGGACGACGCGAACACGTCAACAACAACTTCCCCAAAATGGCGGACTTTCTTGAAAATATCGATGTTGGCCATTATAGGTCCTTGGATATGCCCAAAAACTTTGCTATAAAGTAAGAAATACTCTTTCCTAAATCTTATTTTGTAAATGCAACTATTCTCAAACGAAAAATTYTCTTAACTCAAAGATCAAATATTTTCCTCAAAGTTTTTTGTTGACATCAAAGTTTGATTAAAATAACTTTTAATATATTATTTCATTTTAGGGTTACTATTCGTAAAGTCAATTCTAGCTTTCTACCAAGCTTTCAGATTGGATCACAGCAAAGCATTAATGCTCAAGAAGGGGCAGAATTAGCTGGAGAGGCAGTGGAAATGCCCGAGATTGGTCAAAACAGGCCTAGTGGAAGTAAGTATACCACGATTATTTTGAATGAGGTTGACTATATGATAATCATCGTAATTTATCAAGGACGAGGCTGTGTCATATTATCTGTTGAAGCCATAGTCCAAGGCGATCAAGAAACAGTCTTGAATATAAATTTACGACCACCACTGTACTGGACTATTACGATTTTTGATTGAGGTTGACCATGATAGCGTTAACAGATCAAAAACAGTTTTCCGTGTTTGATACTCTGACCAAAACACGCGGGATGTTGAGAGAACACAAGAGGAGCGTAGGAAACCATGACGCGTAGTGGAGTGATTTGATCAGAGTATCAAACACAGAAAACTGTTTTTGATTTGTTTTAAAATAACAAACACGCGAAAAGATCGGAAAAAAAGCAAAGTATAAGTAAATTCTCCCTACGTGCCGTCTTTTTCAAACTGACCAATGAGCGCGCACGATAGATTAAAATCTGACAGTTGCAATACTCACCCCACCCCTCCCCAACCCATAACTGAATGTTATACGTCAATTTTAACTGAATCATTAAATGTATAATTGTAATAATGTATAGGTAAAAAGGACGAAGAAGAAGAGGTCTTTACATTCCACTGGCAGCAGAAAGCTTTTTCAGAGGTACTAGCATTGATGGTTGCCATAGTTACCTTAATGTTTAATGTAATTGACTTCTCGTTACCACTCATTTAGGATATCAATAACTTCAAATTTTGATTAGCTCTCTGGAAATGTAATGTTAATGTATAATTTGTGATGGTAAAGGTCTAATTGATGATACATACTGTATCCCTGTATTCCTTGATTTCAGTGTCAAATATTTAGAAATACCAGCAGAAAAGAATGCACAACTTGAACAATACTTGCAAACACTTTAGAGTCTATGGCTTTCACTGGAATCTTAGCAAAAAAGAGAAAAAACACCCTATGATTCTTGATAATAAATTGATGCTAATTTTTTCCTTTATTTTATAGCGTGAAAAGGAGCTCTATGAAAATGCCTCTGACTTGTATAGTGGTGGACTTGAGAGAYATTACATTGAAGAAGTCAAAAGACTAAGGTATGTAATACTAAAAGTGACAATTAGAGACACTGTATATTTAGGAAATAGAATTACAGTGTAGGGTGCTTCATTGTAAAGAACTTACTAATCTGCCTTTCTTTTCAGGCAAAGAGGAGACCGCCCAAACAAACGGTTGTTCTCTTATGTGGACCATGATACATTTGTTAATCTTGATGAGGTAGGTGGATAAATATGATTTGAAATTTCCGGTTAATATCTAAACTTTTTTAACAGTTAGTATTGTTTATTTTTTGTGTGCAGGAAACACGGACGTTAACTACATCTCCCAATGAAAAGCCATCATTTCTTGTTGAGAAGATGATGAGTGTGAGAAGGAGAAATGTTGGTTCAGGAAAACTAGACAGAAGGCAAGTGGTTGTATTTGTCCATTGATCTGTCTGTCTGTCCATCCATTCATCCACCCATCCATCTACGCATCAATTCATCTGTTTGTCCATCCGTCCGTCCGTCCATCTGTTCATCCTTCCTTTCTTCCATCCATTCTTCATTCCCTCCTCCACTTCCTTCTATCCTTCCTTCATTCATTAGCTTAAATTCTTTGTTAACTAACAATTAACTCATGACAAATATGTGTACATGTGTACTATTGTAAAGACTCAAGAAATTTAAGATTATTAATTGATTTTCCAACAGGAATCGTCCTGGAGGATTCACACATCACATCAACCCAGTCACCACATATACTTCTGAGCTGACAAAGAATGCTGCACATGCTCTGAGTACACACTACAGAACTATGTACATCCTGGCAGACTTGGCTCAAGATATTAAGTAAGTGGCGGTAGCCAATTAACAATATTATTCACATGCTGAAGGCAAAGTATATATTGGGGAATATTTACCATTGAAGCTGCATGAAGTCTTTGAGCTGCAAGGTAAATATCGCCTGAAGTGAATAATTGTTTTTATTAGTATAATTTTAGACTTGAATTATCAGAGAAAAGATTAAATTCAGGATTAAAAAAAAAAACAAAAAAAGGTTTTACTACCACTTTCACTCTGGCAAACTTTGGAAGACCTCATTTATATCATCTCTCAAGCCAAAGAGCCATTATGATTCTATGACAAGTCTCTACTGCTCAAGTTCTATTGGGGAAGTTGACAAATTAATGAAGAATTTTTAAACATGTGGTCATAGTCACAGTGCAATAATGTTAAATATAATACTCTATTTTTATCACCAGGAATAGCTGCTTGACAGATGAATATGTAGTTTGTTCGATAAAGGTAAATACTGGATGTACTCTTGAATCTACATGATAGTTCTTATAAAATATTCAATTGTGTGCACATATCTATCAACCTGGATCCAGCCAAGACAGCAATAAAACAACAAAGTTGTCCTGGAATGGGTCCTGGAATGGTCTATTAATGAATAACTAACATATAAATTGGGCTAACTCTGTGTAAATGTTAGCCTGTGGGGTGGTCATCAAAAAGTAGTATTTTCATATGTAGCTGCATACCAATTTAACTTTTTTTCTGTTCTGTTTTTGCTCATCATAAATAATTGCAGATGGATATCAATGGACAGATTTTTATCAAGCCTGATTTTAATCAAGGAGAACAACCGTATCGCATTGAAACACTACATGAATCTAGGGGTAAAAAAGGCAATAATTAATATCAAATTTATTTATTTGATTATATATTAAGTATATAATCATATGGTTATTTTTTTAAACAAAATACAGGACAGATTTGTTCTATTCTTTTATATAATTATAGTGTATGATAAATATTTAAATTTTGGCAAACATCAGAAAGAAGAAATCATTTGGCCTACACTTAATTTTTTGACACGAGGGACAGACAATTAGATCCTTGAGGGGGAGGGGGGTGGTTGAGCAATTTAGAATATGTTCATAGCTTTCAAACCTTTTTCTTTAGATGTCTATGAATATACACTGGAACACTGTTCACCAACCATGTCTGAGTAAGTAATGCYACTGTCACCAGGTGCTGCAGAGAGGGAGGGGTAGGTGGAGAATTGTAGTAAACAAACTGACACACTTTATTGAACCCTGAAACAAAACTAACTTGTCTTTAAACACAGAGAGCAGAAAGAACATGAAATAAAGAGTTTTAATGAGGTGAGATTTTACATG